TTTCTTTTGAGACAGGGTCTTAGTCTGTTACCTAGGCTGGGGCGCAGCGGTGCAATCTTGGCTCACTGCAAACTCCACTTCCCAGGCTTAAGTGATCCTCCCACATCAGCCTCCCTAGTGGCTAGGACCACAGGTGCAGCCACCACACCCCTGACTAATTTTTGTATTTTTTTTTAGAGACAGGGTTTTGCCATGTTGCCCAGGCAGATCTGGAACTCCTGAGCTCAAGCAATCCACCTGCCTTGGCCTCCCAAAGTACTAGGATTACAGGGTTGAGCCACCATCCTCAGCCTTTTATTACTATTTTTTAAAGGAAGGGTAGACTTGAGATTGACTTAAAGGGCAGTTTTTAATAAAAATACAAAAAATACATTTAGAAGAAACTGTAAGGATGTGAAATATCAGTGATTAGCATGAACTCAACTGGTTGTCCTGTTTGTTCTGCCACTCCATTTCATTTTCACTTTTGATTACGATTTAGCTGGAGAGGACATCAGTGTTGACAGTGGAAGTTGCTCAAGCTGACACTTTGCCTCTCCAGGGAGTCTCCCCTCCAGGCTGGTACACACTTCCTCTTAATTTACTAATGGGAAGAACCCCTGAGTTAGGGAACGTAAAATAATAGAAATAAACACGTTCATTTAAAAAAAAAAAAAGTGTGTTAATGAAAGAGTAACGTTAGTGTACTGCTACAGCAGTTCTGCTTGGCTCTGGAGCACTGGATATCTTTTCTCAGCCCTACCATGACTACTTTAATTTTAAGGCTTCATTTTGCTCATTCAGCTATTGGGGAAAATGACTTCTTTTTTCCGTTTTTGGTGTCATGGCTGTGGTTTCACAACCACTTGATGAAAGACAACTGGTTGAGAGCAGAGTCCAGTCTACGCAGATTTTCATTTCCTAGCATGCCGGTGAAGCTTTTGGCCAAGCTCATGGTTGACCCTGTGGGGAATCCCCCAAATTTAGCACTGTTATCTCCAAACGTATTTCTCTTAGTAATCTGGTAGGTACGAATTAGCTCTTCTGTTCTCTAAGCCCTATTCAAAGAGGAGGGTATATAGTGTAGTGGTTAGAACTTGTGATTCCAGACCCATCTGAGTTGAAATCTTGGTATAATAATTTTCTAAGCATAGTTTTGTTGGCAGGGCACTTAACACTCTGAATTGTCTATTATTCAGAAATAAAAAAGGGTGATGGTAATCTTTGCCTCCCAGAACTGTTAATACAACAGCTGACATTTATCGAGCACTTATTATGTGCCAGGCATTGTGAAAAGAGTTTTTATGTGGCACTCTCATTAAGCCTCGAAACATTGTCCTCAGTTTACGTCTGGGGAAACTAAGGCATCAAAGTATTTATGATTTCTCTAAACTCCTCAGCTTACAGTTTTAACTACTCAGCAAATGTGTGTCAGATTTTTTGTTGGTTTGAGACAGAGTCTTGCTCTGTCGCCAAGCTGAAGTGCAGTGGTGTGATCTTGGCTCATTGCACCCTCCGCCTCCTGGGTTCAAGCGATTCTCCTGCCTTAGCCTCCTGAGTAGCTGGGACTACAGGTGTGAACCACCACACCCAGCTAATTTTTGTATTTTTAGTAGAGACAGGGTTTCACCATATTGGCCAGGATGGTCTCCATCTCTTGACCTTGTGATCCACCCGCCTGGGCCTCTCAAAGTGCTGGAATTAAAGGCATGGGTCACCATGTCCAGCCCAGATTTCTGTTGTAAGCTAATAGCTATATAGGTCTTACTGTGGCAGGCCCTGTTACAAGGGTCATAGGTACATTAACAACCCTTAAGATAGGTATTTTTTTCTTCCCTTCTTTCTTTTTACAGATGCAGAAACTCAGGCACAAAGCCCAAGGTCAAACAGCTAGTAATGTTAGAGCCAGGATTTGAACTAGGATCCTGGGTGTGGAATCAGTAGTAACTCTCAGCCACCTACCTGCAAATGTAAAAGGCTTAGCCAGGCTTCTATCAAGGGCAACTTCTATTGATACTTTCATTTATTTTTCCCTAAGTAACTATTCCTTGCTCTCAGTTTCTGCAGATGCTTTTAGTTCTATAAATGATTCAACTTTACTCAAGGCTTTGTGATTCTGCATATATTTCTATTGTAGTCTCTGTTATTTCTAAAAGCTTGTGCTAGGCCTCAGTAATCTTGCCTCTGGGGATATGGGGATAGGGAAATAGTCTTTGTCAGCTCTGTGAACCCCTTTCAAATATATGATTTTGTTTTTGCCTTTTTTTTTTTTTTTTTGGTACTTTTGTAGAGATGGGGTTTTGCTGTGTTGCCCAGGCTGGTTTTGAACTCCTGAGCTCAAGCAATCCACCTACCTCAGCCTCCCAAAGTGCTGGGATTACAGATGTGAGCTACTGTGCCCAGCCTGATTTCATATTCATATGCAAAAGTGCATTATTCTAGGGGAAAGAATCTATAGCTTTCTTCAGATTCTTACGTGGTCATGCATGGGGGAAAGAAAATAATTACATTTCTTTTATTGTAAAATAATCTCATTTTACAAATGAGGCCATCAAGGCCCAATGGAGAGGAGGAATAATTTAATCTGAACTACACAGCTAATTAGAGGCAAAAAGGGGACTCAAACTCAGGTCACTGCACTTCTAGTCTCATATTCTTTCCATTATAGCCTGATAGTTCTCTGTGGATTAAGTGGTGCCAGATCAATAAATTATGAATTGCCAGAGACCCCCCAGCTCTCTCACCCGGCTGCCCAATGCACATGGCCAACAAAGCTGCCTGGAAGTGCCTGTGAAAATATGACATGGTTTGGCATGTGATCCTGTTAGCTGGGCCACTTTACTCTGATTTGGTATGGGAATCTACAACTCTGAGAGATGTGAGCCAGGAAAAGAAAAGCTGTTTGGGGAAAAGAAGAGGATTGTTGCAGACATGTGTTGGTTGAGGCACAAGGCAGCCATTCAGACCTCTCTGTAGAATTGGCATATTGGAGGGTTTTTGCTGAGATATTTAGAAATTCAAACAAAATTCCCTGGGCTGGGTGTGGTGGCGCATACCTGTAGTCCCAGCTACTCGAGAGGCTGAGGTGGGAGGATTGCTTGAGCCCAGGAGGTTGAGGCTGCAGTGATCTGTGACTGCGCCACTGTGCTGCAGCCTGGGCAACAGAATGAGACTCTGTCTCAAAAATAAATAAATAAAAATAAACCCCCAGTCTCCTGAAGTCTGAGATTCCTGCATAGTATGTGGCTCACTGGGAAGTATGGCCGTCTCCTGGCTGAAGGTTGATGCTCCAACAATTAAAGAAGATTAAAAGAGTTGGGGTATGGTGGCTCACACCTGTAATCCCAGTGACTCAGGAGGCTAAGGTGGGAGGATTGCTTGAGGTCAGGACTTTGAGACCAGCTTAGGCAAAATCTGGGTGTGGTGGCACACACCTGTAGTCCTAGCTTCTTGGGAGGCTGACGTAGGAGGATCTCTTGAGTTCAGGAGCTGGAGGCTGCAATGAGCCATGATCTCACCAGTATATTCCAGCCTGGGGCAACAGAGCGAGACTTCAATTCTAGAAAGAAATAATAATAATAATAGTAATAATAAAAAAATAGGCTGGGTGCAGTGGCTCATACCTGTAATCCCAGCACTTTGGGAGGTCGAGGTGGGGGGAATCATGAGGTCAGGAGTTCGAGACCAGCCTGGCCAACATAGTGAAATCCCATCTCTACTAAAAGTATAAAAAAATTAGCCAGGCATGGTGGTGGGTGCCTGTAATCCCAGTTACTTGAGAGGCTGAGGCAAGGAGAATTGCTTGAGCCAGGGAGGTAGAGGTTGCAGTGAGCTGCGATTATGCCACTGCATGCCAGCCTGGGCAACAGTACAAGACTCTGTCCCAAATAAATAAATAAGAAGAAAAGAAGCCTAAAAGGTCATGAGACCTTTAATAGTTTAGGCCAGCCTTTTGACATGACTTATATTTTACAAACTGATAATAATAAAGCTTACCTGGGAAATAGATTTGTACTAGTAGAGAATACATTTTTGAAAAAGAACATTGAGGAGAGGCTTGTTCAGTCAGCTATAAAAATACATCACCTGGAGGTGGGATGTGGTGGCTCACACCTGTAATCTTAGTGCTTTGAAAGGCCAGAGTGGAGGATTGCATGAGACCAGGAGTTCAAACCAAGCCTGGGCAACATAATGAGACTCTATGTCTATAAAAATTAAAAATTATATCATCTGCGACTAGGAATAGAAAGTCAAGAAATGGTTCCATTGTAAAGACAGGAATTTAATGTATGATAAAATGGACTGTTATTAAGTCTGTTGGGAAAATTGGCTGTTGATTTGGAAAAGATTAGATCCCTGCCTCATAATAAAAAAGTAAATGCCTTTTTTTTCTTTTTTCTGAGTTGGAGTTTTGCTCTTGTTGCCCAGGCTGAAGTGCAGTGGTATGATCTCAGCTCACCACAACCTCCTCCTCCTGGGTTCAAGCAATTCTCCTGCCTCAACCTCCCGAGTAGCTGGGATTACAGGCATGTGCCACCATGCCCAGCTAATTTTGTATTTTTAGTACAGATGGGTTTCTCCATGTTCGTCAGGCTAGTCTCGAACAAGTAAATTCCATTTAAAAATTAAATGTCACAACCAAAATTATAAATATTAAAATATATATAAATGTAGAAGATGGTTTTTAGAAATAACTTTGGGGTTGGAAAGACCTCAAGTTTAATAAAATTCAGAAACCATAAAGGAAAATATTGATAGACCTAATTTCATGAAAGATTATACTTCATGTCTAGCAGTTGTTTTGAACATGACCTTTGGCTACATTTCCCATCTTCACAGCTGAGGCACCCCAAATCTGTCCTTCCCTACTGCAGACTGGCAGGTGGGATTCCCCCCAGGTCACCCTCCTTCCTTCTTTC